AATGTTGACACTTTCTAGAGAATGAAATAGTTGTCTATTGTATGATTGGGCGCAGATTGGTGACACGACGACTGCTTTTATGCATTTGAATATGTCATTTTAGAAAAATAGAGAAATATTTAAATTAAGTGAATTTCGCATATTTTATAGAAACAGAAATTAACGCTACATCCATGACAGTGGGTGTTTTCGGCGTTGAGCACAATCACCTCTGTGACAAACCAGAAAATTAAAAGTACATACATATTTGACATATACTAAAATAAAATAATTATACAAAATAATTATGTTTTAGAACGAACGTACTGTTAGAGTAAGTTCTTGCCCTATATTATATATTAAATTGTTATATATGTAGTATATATATACTAATAAATACATATTATAAATAAAAAAAATCTAAATAAAACCAAATATATCTCTCTACGTCAAACTTAAAACAAATATTTAAAAATTGATTTCTTAATACAAATATTTTTCTTTTGACTTGTCACATTTGATCACATTTGATTTGTAAATGATATGATATAAATATATTCTAAACCTTAATGAAAAAAAACTATGTATATTTATAAGATTTTACAAATTTAAAACAAATAAAATAAATATTTGTTACAAGTTAATATAATTTAATAACTGATATTAGAAACAGCATCTATAAAGTGTTTAGAACCATATCGAAATACTTGGATATACAAGCGTCCTCTACTTCGTTTAAGAATGATGCCTTCGGTGTTTGCCATTTTTTACTGAAATTGATATCCCTGACTAAATATTAACAAGGTTTTCTTTACATGGTACACTAATATTATAATTTCCTTCTAGCAGTTAATATAAAAAACTTTTAAAATAATTATAATATAATTTTATATATAAACCTATTAGTGCTCAATTTCAAATATACAAGTATTTATCATTAGTGTATTTAGTTTTATAATATTTTATTAAATATAATACAAAGAAAATAATAATCAAAAACGCTCTTTTTGGAAATGCTATACATCCTCAAAACTCCTAATGACACCAGACTCAATTATAAAACTGACATACAAGGCTGTGCTCAAGTATATAAAAACACCTTAAACATATCAATTCCTCTATATTATTCCTCTATATATGTATAGTTATTATATTTATTGTCATAATATTGTATAATTATTTTGTATATACATGTAATTCATATTTAAATGTTAGCAAACTCGGGGAAATATATGATATGTACTTTACACTAAAATACTTCCTTTAAAGATAGAATTCCGGGCAATGCCACTATTATTTATTGTTTCAACATTCTTTTAATAAAATGAAAATATGTTACAGAAGTATAGAAAGTTCCTTTAAAAAATCATACATAGAATGATTTTAAATTAAGTAAATATTAAAATTTGAGTGCGTTTTATAATAAATTTTAAAGTTCTCGATTTTTAATTGATTTGGAACAGTTAAATTGTGTGAAGTGGTTTTTCAATCCCTTTTTTTAGTTTCAGATACATAATTCTAATAAAAATGTTTTAACCTGTTCATAACGGAAGCTAAATCACATTTTAAAAATTTAATTCAGTTTCTTACTGAACTAAAAATTAAATATACATATATATATTATTTAAATTTGGTTCAAACAACCAAATTTCCTTAATTTCGTAAAAATGAAATTAAGCTAATTTCGAAAGTGTTCATACTGCCCCAAATTAAGGAAATCATAAAGGATAAAGGATGGCATTCAGTAGTTTTATTAGCTTTAGTAGATTTCAGGTATACGAATCATTATTTTTCACTCTATTTTAAATTAATAACAGTTACAGTTCTTTCTCTATATTCAAATTCAAAAATTGGCACTGTTTTCAAAATATTTCACTTTTTCGTTGATTCAACTTTATCTTTTCATGGAAAACTGCCTTAATTTCGTTAGAACGAAATAAAGCAAAATTCCCTTAATTTCATTCTAACCTCAAAACTGAATTTTGTATGGAAAAAAAATTTGTATGAAAAAAACTATATACATTTATTTAGTATATAAATACATATATATATTTTATATATTTATATATTATATATATATATATTTTATTATATTTAAAACATATAACAAAAAAAAATGCGAATATTTAAAATTTAGCTGTTCAATTATACAATTTATTAATCGTTAAATAATAAAATTAATTTAAAATATTGACACTGAAATTATAAAATACATTTAAAATAATTTTAATATAAATACAGTTGCTGACATATATTAAGTTTTTCAGCAAACGAAGTTTAAATTTAAATAAATTAAATTTAAAACGAAGTTTAAAATATTTGTATTCAGCACGTATTTTAAAAATGAAATACCGATGCAGTAATGCTTCTTAAAATTAAATATAGAGCAGTTGCCAGAAGGGTTCAGTAAAACACAATCAATGTTCTGGCTGTTATATATGAGCAATGTCAGTTAATACATCTTAACTCATATAATATTGATAAATATTGAAATAATAGCAATTTCATCATGTCAGATTTTTTCGCTCCTATTTCAATCAAATACAATTTGGTGCGAATAATTTTCCATTTATATGCACACAAATCTCTTCCTGCAACTAAGCGCGGAAGTGCATGTGTCAATGCTGTTTAGATCAAGTGGAAGCTTGTCAACTGTGCTGTCAAAAGCTTTTCAGATTATGACAACTTTTCTCTGACACGCATTCAAAGTGTCAGTTCCCAGTTAATTTTCATTAGCGTAAACGATGGAAAGTGCCATTTTATATTCAGTTTGGTGAATTTTCTCTTAGAGATAGTTTTCAATAAAATCGAGTTTACTTAAATAAATTTCTAAGAACTTAGAACAGCTAAATACTTAAAATTATATCCAAAACATATAATAAAACAATTAAAAGGATTCCAAAAGGATAAATTAACTAAAAAGATCTATGGTTCAAAAAGTTATACTTTCGGTTTGTGGTGATCAAGACCATCATAAACCGAAAGTATAACTTTATATAATTAATTTAAAATATGCAAGAAAAGTTAAAAATTATACATTTTTTATATCTTTTTTTATTAGTTAAATGTTTTATTGAAGATTTTTGTAAACTTTGCACTGATTTTAAAATTTAAATAAAAAATGAAATTTAAAAAATTACAATTCAGATTCAGTTTAAAAATTATTTTAAACAGATATTTTATCAATATTAAATGACATAAAGATTATAATTGATCTTATTTCTATTTTATTAGATTTTATAACTCAGTGAATTATATTTACGGAATTCAAATATTATACGACCCAGCGCAAGCATCAAAATATGTGTCCTAGAATGAAGTGTAGTCCATATATTACACCCATACTGTTATGGTTATAAAAAAAAAAGATGGTGTGGAGAGAAAATTGTTGCGTCTATTGATTTATTTCTTTGAACGCAAACATATGTAATATTATATTATATATTGCGAACAAGGGATGCGTATCTATGTACTACTATACCCAAACGTTTTCTACGATTACACAAGCAAAATAAATTTTAAGCTTCACAATCGTGTGAGTTCAATGTTAGATGTCGCAGTGAATGGGGAGAATTTTATTGTTCAAGACCAACTTAAAATTACTTGTAAATTGCCATTGTTACCTTTGAAATAACGGTGACCTATAAGTCTCGACATTTACCAATTAATATAGTAATATTCATACTATATTGGAATTAATACCAATTATATATTTAGTAGTACTATATTAAAAAATATAGTATTTTTTACGGGTAGTGTGAAGAATATAGTTCGTTTTTCGTACTTAGAATACAGATATAAATTCATCTAATCTGTTCACGTTTCTGAAGACTTCTTTTGTACGCAAGGGAGATATTGAAATTTTCAAAACCTTTATTACAGAGTACAACAAAACAAATTTTTTCCCTGATACGTGTCTTTTTATTTAAAAAAAAAAAAACTTTAAAAAAATAGTTTATCCAGATCGGAGGTGATGTAGTCAATTTTTGTCGAAATCCGTTCCGCTTGTAAAAGAACGGCGCATATATAGTATTTTTAGTATAGACATAGTAACACGTAATAACTTTGGTAACTTTTTGTAGAATGCAAACTCCATTAACAATCTTCATAAACAATCTTAACACATTTACTGTTAATGGAAATAATATAAAATTATTGAAGTTATATGCACAGTTTCACCAGGTAACGAACTGCAACGTTGGTGATATTTTTATTCCTATCAAATTTATCAAAGATTAGATTAAAGAAAATCGCATGAATATGGTCCATATTGGGTTTAACTCAATTCCTTATATATTGTCAAATATAAAAATCAAAAAACAAAAAAAAAGACAAATGAAAAGAACCGCGACATATAAATAGAAGATGTGTAATTTCTTAAATCTTGAAGCATCCTCTGCTTTGTACAACAGATCCACAGCTAATGGATACATCTAGATCTTTATGAATACACTGTAAGTATTTCTATGATTAACTTATTAGATTAGATTTGTTGATATAATAGAATTGTATAAGAGAAGTTTAGAAAAATATTAAAACCATTTTTTTTTTAAATAAAGTTTCTGAACCACAGTTATTGTACTTTTAAAATGTAGGTAATTAAACGATTATATCTGGTTACTATTATTAAACTACTAAAATTTCAGTAGGACATAGTGTATTACCAACACTTTATAACTAGATGTGGTCAAATAATTATATTATACTTTAATAAGATCATCCTTTATCACAACATATATGAAAAATTCTTATCTGTTTAAATATGTGTATATGTCAAACTATATATGGTCTTTAATACTATAATAGTTGTAGTCTAAAATAAATACTTTTAATTCTTTTATTATTTCTGTTTATACTATATTACATATATTACAATATATAATATGTAATATATAATATATAACATAATATATGATAGTTAATTTTCAATGATAACTTAGTATATCAATTTTATTATAAAGCAAATAATAAAATAGTTTTAAATACTTAATAGGAAAATAAAAAAAGGTGTTCAAACTCACCTGCAAATGGTCAAGCAATGCTTCTAAACCACGATCGCTAATTGAAGAGCACCGTAAACTTAACGAATGTATGTGTTTGGACGCTAGTGGAAATGAATGTACAACATCCAAAGCATCCTCATCGGCAGCGCCAACCAAAGCTAAAGCATGAAAACCTCGACGTATTAATGAGTTATATAGTTTAACACGATCACAGCTTGCTACTTGACGCAATTCCCGACATTGTAACGTAGGTAATAACCCCGACCAGTAGCGTGGACTTCGATATAGTATATCTCGCCATTTAATGCAAACCTGTGCTAGTACCCGTCTTTCATACGACGAAAAATACAAAAAAAACTTATTCAGAAATCTGTCGTCCAACATAAGAGCATCTATACTTGTTATGGGCGGCGGATGTTTATGTAATATCAAAGCGGATTGATTCACAGCAGCGACTAGATGTGTCGATGCAGCAGCACCACCAATTATGCCACCACTGCCTGCATATGGGTGATGCAAATGTGGATTCGGCAATTGTTTACGCAATTGAATCGGTGTGCCAGATTGACTTTTTTGTACTGCAGCCATGCCCATTGTGTTGAATTGTGGTGATCCGTGCGGTATGGCAATATTCATTTGTTTAGCAATTGAGTTAACTGTGGGTGCAGGTGGAGCACCCAGTGCACCATGAGGTGGGCTTGCTGCTCCAGAGTTTATCATGTTTGAGTTGACCAATGTTGAGCTTGCTATTTGTGTTTGCAACTGTTGTTGCTGGATTATTTGAAAATTTGTTGTAGAATGATGCGTTGCTGTGCTACTTGCTGAGTTTTGTTGATTATTACTGCTATTGTTGTGAGCGTTGCTCAAATTGGTGGATTGTGTATGACTGCCACTGCTTCGTGTGGGCTTATCAGGTGTATTGTTACTGTTTGTATTACTATTAGAATTGTTGCTGTTGTTAGAATTATTACTATTATTGCTGCTATTATTACTGCTACTGCTGCTGCTGCTGCTGCTGCTGCCACCACAAAGCGCATTTGTTACTCTTTCCATTACTGACGTTTTCCCACTTGATGTAGAGCCAGTCGAAGAGGAAGAAGAAGAGGTTGATGAACCACTGCCATGATGATGTTTTGAACGCAAACCCAAACCATTTATTCGTTTGGAAAGTTCAGCGGAGGCTCGTTCGACTACGCCTTGCGCTGATATTGAAGACATTGTATTCTGAAACAAATTCACTTTGTCTCACTCTGGCCAACCGTTCAAAATTTGTAATTATTCAACTTACAAGTTTATACGTCAATTTGGCCCAGATTTTACTTTAGCAGGTATCCTACTATATTTTAAAGAAATTACTATGTTTGTATGTTAGTGCTTTTGCTCGTAATACTGCGCCAGCACATGTGCGTGTTTCGTCGGTATGGAAGTCGCAATTTCAAATGGTAGTGTTAGCACAGGAATGGTAGTAACAGTAGTTTTACTTCTACTTAGTTTGCATATATGCACTTCAAAACAAAATTTGCATTTTAGTTTACCATACTTCACAACTTTCGTTCCAAACTGAACCACTTTTTTCTTAGTTTTACTTTAATGTTTAAAAAAATTTCTCAAAATATGAATTCTGCGTCAGGCATTTTAAATACAATGCATATGTTTACCTTGAAAGAAAAAAAATCTATTAGGGTTTTGTAAATTTAAAATATACTCTATGTTTGCATAATCTTAACACTTAAAGCATTATAAAAATTTATTTAATGTATTTTTAAAAACTTGAAAATAGTACATTTTTTATCATTAAAATATATTAAGCTTTATAAGTATATACATTCACATAAAAGAAGCAGAGTTCAGCGATAAATCCACTGATCAAGTCTTATATATTAAGTATTATTGTAGTTCTCAAGTACTTGACACCAAATCAATGATCCCAATTGTTAAAGATTACTAGCTCCGAAATAAAGGTTTGCCTAACGTATGTAGGTTTTCAATGAGTGAAAGTCAACAAGCTTTTATTAAATGACTAAAAATCCATTTTTCAAATTTTTATTAACAAAATTAAAAACATTATTGAAAATATCTCAGGCATTCGTTATTGAACTTTTATATCTTCAGAAGAACCATATCTCAGCAAGTAGTAGTTTTTAATGATCATTTGAAAGAAAGCCATTCCATGGCTAACAAAAATCAGTGGGTCAACTGTCCACATCTAGCTCCAAGAAGAGCAAAATACTTTCTTAACACAAACAATTCTAATATTCAGCCATATAGAGACACCAATAGAAAAACTATATCACTTCTTTTTTGATTAAAATTGAATATATGAATGTGGAAGTTATATGGTTTCAAAAGGATAGTAACACTGGTCAAACAATATATGTATCTTATTTCGGTTTTTTTGTTCAAGAAACTTTTTTAATAAATCATGCGATTTGGGCTTCTTTTTAAGGGTTTACACAAAGGATGGTGATAACGCCGATTATCCTAAAATTATTGACGCTTTGGAAACAAACAGATGTCAAGTTATGGCTAAACAGCTATCAAGTTATTAAATACAAGGTGAGATGAAAAAACTGCAACAAAGTAAAACGCCATAATTTTTTCATTTTTTTTAAATTTTATTGAATGAAAGCAAAAAATGTCGGAAATAACATCAAATTTGAGAATCGGTTTAGATTTGTTCGAATTGGCCACCTTTGGCCCGAAAGTGGCTCTGCGGTATTTTGTCCCATTCTCGGCGAAGCGCTTGCTTGAGATGATCGACACTTTGGTATTTTTTAGTTCCAACCTTGCTTTCCAAAATACCCCAGGCACAATAGTCCAACGGATTGGCATCCGGAGATTTTGGTGGCCATTGTGCGGTGGAAATGAAGCGAGGAACCTCATTTCTTAACCATTCTTGGATGGCGCGTGCTGAGTGCGATGGTGCTGAGTCCTGTTGGAATGTCCAAGGTCTGCGGCCGAAATGTTTGCGTGCCCAGGGCTTCAGAACTCCCTCCAAAATATTTTCGCGATAGATTTGCGCATTTAATTTGACACCACGGTCGATGAATACGAGCGGCGAGCGACCATCGGCTGTTATGGCGGCCCACACCATCACCATGGCCGGCTTTTGAGTTGTGATGGCCAACCGAAGTTGCAAATTTTCAGCTGACCTCTCTGGCAAGTAAACACGATCATTTTGTTTGTTTACAAACTGCTGGATAACGAATGGTTTCTCATCGGAGAAAACCAAATTCGGCAGTTCACCACTTTCGGCCAAGCGAAACAACTCTTTAGCTTTTTCGAGTCTAACTTTTTTTTGCGCATCAGTAAGATCTTGCACTTTTTGGAACTTGAATGGCTTTAGTCCAAGCTCATTTTTCAATATTTGCCGAATGGCATATTGCGATATGTTCAGCTCACGAGCCATTTTTCGTCCACTGCGACGCGGATTTCGTTCAATTCGCTTTTTCACTTTTCGAACCATTTCTGCCGATGTTGCTGTTTTTTTTCGTCCACTTCCTTGACGTCGGGCTACGCTACCAGTATCATGGTAACGAGCGATGGTACGAGACACAAAACATTTATTCACTTCTAAATGCTGGAGGGCTCTAACGATAGCCACTTGTGGTTTTCCAGCCAAATGCAAAGCAATCACACTATCACGCTTGAATTCCATCACAAATAACTTTTTTTCTGAAAAATTCCCACCAAAATGCTTTTGTGCGCTTGTAAACAATATAATGAGCTGTCACTAGAAATCTGACAGCTGTGGGACGAGCGGTTTAGAAATGACAGCAGTCTGAAGTTGGTTGCAGTTTTTTCATCTCACCTTGTATATGCCACATAGCCATCAAAAAAAAATTATTTTAAGTACTGTAAAATGCAGTAGTGTAAAATGAGAAGCTTTACATACTAAGAGTATAAGATGGCATTAAAATTGTTAGCACATATTAAATTATTTTTCTTGCAAATGAATTCTGAATATACACTCTTGCACTAAGTCTGCCAAATTTCTCTTTCGGAGTCCTTCACCACTTAATTTTTGGGTTACCTCCGGATCTTATTTTTATTTATTTCAACCAAACGCCGCATGTATCATATTTAATGATATACGACTGTCATTTTCATTCTGTGTCTAATATTTAATGGTCATAAACCTACTTTTCTCAGCTTTGATGTCAAGACAGCTGCTGTTGTCTTATCTTGTATTAATCGTTCATCGTTTTGTCTTAAAGCCCATTTTACTGCATTCAATATACGGTCTATTAAATTTGCCTATATATCTTGATGACGTTTATTGATAACATATTACCAAATCACATTAGATCGTTTAACTTTTGATTGAATTTCCAGTTGACTTTAAACTTTTTGGACTATGTTGCTATAAACACCAGAGTCGTGGCTTTATACAACCCTTGATCACTCCATTATACTCAAGAGTGCCTCTAAGCTATCCGCTGCGGCTTGTAGATTAATGATAACATGCTTTGATTGTTTTTACAACTTTGTATCTTACATTTGGTGCAATCAAATGGATTGTTTTAACTCCTCAACTACAATTTTAAATATCCGAACCGGTTTAAGCAAAAAGATTAACTATCTAGCTTTCATGATTCTATAGCAACACTATCAGATCAGATCATTATGATATCGTTAAAAAACTAAATATTTATTTGTCGCTAATTGGAAAACAATTTTAAGTTGTTAGCAAAACTTTGGAAAACTTACAGCAACTGCGATCCTGTGTAAATAAGCCCACGCAAAACTTGCGTGAAGCACTGGTGGAGCACATATCACATGCGTAAACATTTTTATTTACAGAAGGCAGTTAGTTATTAAATATTTACATATTTAATATTCAGCTATTGATGTAGAATAAATGTTTAACTATATACGTGTACCTATAACATTTTCGCACATTTTTTTTAGCTTTATCATATGAAATTAATAGAAATTTATTACATAGAATGTATTTTATATTTACATGACAACTGGAATTTCCTAAGGAGTCAATGTACTCATACGAATACAACAAGGTGCAGTTCAAAGAAACTAATAGTGTATTTAGCTACTAATGACTACGATACGATCCACTTAAATAATTAAAATTTTATCGTGTTTATAAAATCGTCACAATACACCTACGTTGAGTAAAAACAATAAATTTATGGATATTTAAATAAAAAAAATAAATGTAAAATGAACTATGAGACATATCTACTAGCAATGGTGTGGTTAATTCCTCTTAAATGCTTTAATAATCCAAGCAATTAATTTACATTCCAAGTCGTTGAGATATTTATACGGAAGTTATGTTTTTACGTATTAAATCAAAATAAAATGTTATTTTCTTCCAGAAAAATTTAACCAATTAAAAAATTTGAACTAAGGCCAATTACATTGCAAAGGTTATTTACTCTAAATATTTCCTTGACCTGTCCAATCAGTCTTTTATTCTATTTCTTAAATTACGTAGTTTTTATGATGTAAGTACCACGATGAAAATATCCACAAAGTGTTCTTGAACTTTTTAGTATAAAATCTAATATCTGACTTAAAAAACTTCTGGGGTAATATTAATGAAATTCCATCTACATCACACTAAACCAACCAAATCTTCTTACTGAAACAATTAATGATAACATTTTACAAATAGTTTGTTTATAGTTCCTAAACAAATCTTCAACAACATCGATCGCAGTCAATTATAAATTGAATTAGCTAAAAAACTGACAAGAAAACAATATGAAATCGGAATGTAAAGAAAAATCTGAGAGTATTGATAATATTGGGATTATTATAAATATTATAAAGACGAGAGTTGTTATAAGAAAAGTGTCTTACTATTTAGAATAACTCTTAATCAGATGTTTTATTGCAAGTCCGAGACAGTTGCCTGATCAGCAAATCTATTTAATTAAATAACATATTTTAGTCTAAGTGGATTGATAAATACCCGGCTTAAGTAATAAAAACGCATTTTTTTAGAAAATTATATTTTATACTCGAATATAGTCCCCTTTTAGCTCGACACATCGAATTCTATGAGTTTTCAACATTTAAATACCATTTTTTGAATACGATTTACCAAGTACTCCAAAATATATCTCAGTTTCTCATTCCACTTCATCATTTGATGCAAATCTCTTTTATTAGAGCCATATTTTTAAGTTTGAAAACAGGTAATAGTCACTGGGTGCCAAAATCTGGAGTATACGGTTGGTAAAGAAGCAATTCATACCGTAATTCATCTAGTTTAGTCTTGGTTTTCATTGACGTGTAAATGGGTACATTATCCTCCATAAACAAAATTTTTTTCTACGAATGTCGTTTTTTGCTTCATTCCCTTATTCAATCGATCTAATAATATGCAATAGTAGTCTGATGTTATTTTTTTCCAAATAATCTATAAGAATTATTCTACTTGAATCAAAAAATACGGAAGCCAAAACTTTTAAAGCCAATTATTGAGTTTGTGGTCACTTGGAAGCACTAACCTCAAGCTGTTCTCTGAATTGTTGTTTTTCCTCAGAGGTGAAGTAATATTCAAATATTCATTTAAAAATATTCAATACACACTGATAAGTTTGTTATATCTGCTATCTCACGCAATTTAATTTTTTAACCATCCAACACAATATCGTGGATTTTTTCTATATTTATTTCAGTC